GCTTTCTACAGATGAACCACTTGATACAAGCCTTCTGCTGGCTTTTCATGTTCCTACTTCCTAGTGGTCTCTCCATGACCGTTTCACTGCCTTCGTCGGCTCACCGATTCTCGAAACAGTTCACCAAATAATTCTTTTGCATGTTTGATGGATTAATTATGTGGTCGATATGCGAGAGGACTTGGCTGCTAGTTATGTGGAACCTTGTTCATTTTGTTCCTGATGTCTCATATCCCCACATGTTTTCAAGCCTTCCTTTTCTTGGGGCTCTTTTTTTCCCCCCTTTTGCATATGCATTTGCATTTGCAAAGCCTTTCACTAGTTTTGTTCACCGGAGAGAAGTAGTTCTATATATAAACTATAACCGCGGTTCATATTGCTGTATACCTGCATTGTTTACCATACAGGGTTGCCTGTTTGGTGGAGTGTTTACTGTACACTGAATAGTAGTGCTACATTTATTTCGTATATTTCATATAAATTATAGTTTGGTACGATATTTTCAACTCACTTCACATGAATAGTTAAACAATCTACGATCGCTCTTGGAAAAATGAACCATTTATATCACACAATAGAATAGAGAAGTGCAAGGTATATGTACATATTTTACCAGTGGAGAGAATATATCATATACCATTGAGTTTGCACGGATTCAACGAGTTACCATTGAATTTGCCGCTTTCTATAATATTTCATTGAGTTTATCAACTATTTTTGTAATGTGTTATTGTGCCAAATATTTCTCAAAAGATGTTCGAAATGCACTTACAAACATACAATAATATTCAAAAATTTATTTATCCCTGTTAGAAGATTCCAAAAGTTATGGGAAAATTTGTCCAGCCTCATAGCACATCATAGACTTTACGCTATTACATGATAGATTTTTCTGGATGCCACCCCCTTTTGTTTCCAAGCGGTTCGTATGTGGAACCGCACAGAAAAATAAGGGGACCGGTGTAGGACTATCGCCCGCACGGGAAAATCGATTTTTCCGTGCGGGCCTCCTAATCCGACCGCACGGGATAATCATCATTATCCCGTGTGGTCGATTTAAGTGGACTACACGGAAAAATCGATTTTCCCGTGTGGGATTTTAAAGTCAACCGCACAGGAAAATACCTCCCTCCTTTCCCTCCTATCCACTTCAAATTTTTCACATCCTCTCTCTCTTACTTTCTTCCCTTTTATTATCACTTTCCCCAGTCAATTCCCTCCACACCTTCCACTCCTCCTCCCTCTCCCTCCCTCCTCCCCGGCGGCGGGCCGGTGCGGCCAGCGGGCGAGGCGACGGCCGGGCGAGGCGGCGGCTGGTCGCGGCGGCAAGCCGGGTGCGGCGGCTGCCAGGCAAGGCGGCGGGCCGGGCGAGGCGACGGCCAGGCGAGGCGTTAAGGAAGCGGCGACGGCGTTTGGCGAAGGCCCGGCGGCCGTTGGCCCTCGCCGCTGTCTCGGGAGGCCCGCCTCGACGACGACGACGACGGCCTCGACGACGACGAACGACGACCTCAACGGCGGAACCTCGGCGAGCTCGCGACAACGATGACGGGCTCGGGAGAGACGGATCCGTCATCAGTGGACGCGGTAGAAGTGGATCCGTCGCCGGCGAGCTCGGGGGAGGCGGGCGGGCTCGTCAGCTTGCGGTGGCGACGGCCGGATGCCGGCCGGTTGGTGATTTTTGGGTTTTTTTTCCCGTGCGGGTGGCATTTATCCCGTGCAGTCCACTTTAACCCTTATCGCACGGAAAAATGATTATCCCGTGCGGTCGGCCTGCCCGGACGCGAAAATAATGATTATCCCAGACGAGGAGCTGCGGGCGGGCCGGGCGACCGCACGGGATAATCATTCCAACCGCCCCGAAAAATGGGTATTGTAGTAGTGTTAGGGAGAAAAGATGTTAGTCGTTTTGCTCCGAGTGATAGTTTTGCTAATTTGGAGGACTACCCGAATTCCATATGTTAGTCGTTTACTAGCTAGTTTTTGGAGTTTCTCGCTCTTTGTAAATTTTAAACCGCTATATCACGTGTATTCTAGACACTTTTCTCCCATCTTTTGTTTTGATCCCTTTGCTAATTACAATTAATAACATTTTCAGTCTGTGTAACTGATAATCATTGTTCTCTCCCAATTAATTCCTAAAACAACAATCTGTCGTATGGTGGTTTTTTAGTGTTGTTGTTTTCTTAGTTTATTGGTACTTAAATTACTTAAGAGGAGGTGGCTGCTTGTTACATGGAGCGCCGTTCTTTTTTTTAAAACCCCGCGGGGTGTATTTGTATCATTGAAGAGGGAAAAACAATACTATAGCCCTTAGGCTAGGAGATTACAAAAGGATAAAAACAACGAAAAACGCGGGAGGGGGATGGTGGGGGGATGACTAGGGAAAAAAAGGTACATGATACGGGTTACATATCGCCGATTGTGCTTCCACGAGTGTCCGGGAGCAAGGATTGGATGCCTCTTGCACCGCTTGCACGCCATAACCGTATTTCATCAGTTGCCCGATTAAAGGTTATCTGCGGTGACGCCTCGATGTTCCGGAAGACCCTGCTGTTCCTTTCTTTCCAAATTTCCCAGGGGACTAGAATGAGGATTGACTTGACACCGCTTCTTTTCTCCTTAGTCATTGCACGGATGGTCTCGATCCACCAGTCCTCGAGGGATGTTGTGTGTGTCCAGTTTTGTAGCCGCAGCTGAGGGATCCCCAGCCTTGTCGCTACAGTATCCCAAATTTTCCTTGTGGCTGGGCATTCGTAGAAGAGGTGGTGGGCTGTCTCGAGGTTTCTGAAGCAAAGCTGGCAGAAATAATTATTTGGCCACTCTCTCTGTTGAAGCCTGACGGCCGTCCAAATCCTGTTTTGGAGTAGCCAGGTGAAGAATTTGCACTTGGACGGCACCCAACATTTCCAGACTGCGCTTGCTGAGGCTGATTGTGTGCTGCCCATGAACTGCATCTGTTAGCTGATTTGGTGGTGTACGTTCCTGACGGCGTCCACTTCCAGCTAGCAGATGCTATCTTCCACCCCCTAGGTTAGGGTGGTGTATAACGACCAGAGAAGTTCAAAGACTTGGAAGAATTCAGTTACGAGGAGTGTGGTCAGGTTATGCCTAATGTCATCGATCCACTTGTTGCCATCCAAAGCCTCAGCAACAGTCCTCTTCTTTCTCTTGGAGTGGCGGTAGAGGTTGGGAGCTATTGCCTTGAGTGTGGTATGAGATGCCCATGGGGATTCCCAGAAGGAGGCTTTCCTCCCATCTCCAATGGACACTGCTGTAGAGGCTGTGAAGAGTTCCTTGTCTTGGTCGTTGCAAGGCGTTGGTGTGCCAATCCATGGCTTGTCGGTGGAAGTTCATTCATACCAAAGCCACCGTAACCGGAGCGCCCTTCCCATTTTACGGAGGTTTGAGACTCCCAAACTCCCGTATTTTATCGGCCTGCAGACGCGCTTCCCGTTAACCTTGCACTTGCCCCCATGTATTTCATCGCCTCCATCCCAGAGGAATTTTCTCCTTGCTTTATCTATTTCCTAGATGATTTGTTTTGGGATTTTTAGCGCTGTCATGACATAGATCGGCATGGAGTTGAGTACTGAGATGACAAGCTCTCTTCTGCCTCCAACCGAGAGCAGTTTTATCTTCCATGTTGCTAACCGTGCCTTGATTCGATCGATGAGGTATCGGAGGTGGACCTTCTGGAATCTATTGATAGTGAGAGGCATTCTGAGGTATTGCATGGGGAAGCTTGCGTGCGGACCAGAGAAATTTTGGAGGACCTCATCTAGATCGATTGCGTCGCAGCTATATAAGAATCACGGAGCTCTTGTTCAGATTCACCTTTAGTCCAGTGGTGCCACCGAAGTTGTTTAGGATAGAGATCCAAGTTGTCCACATCTTGTCATGTTGGTTTGATGAAATATTGCAGCGTCATCGGCGTATATGGAGCATCTAAAGCGTGCGCTGCGGTCTGCGAGCTCACTGAGGTGGCCACTGTCGATTGTGATTTTTAGGAGCCTGTGGAGGGGTTCCATTGCCAAGATGAAGAGGTATGGGGATAGGCGGTCACCCTGCCGAAGGCCTCTTCGGTGATCTATCCTTTCCCTCTCGACTCCGTTCATGCTATTCCCAATGTCTCATATTCCCTCGTGTTTTTCAAGCCTTTCTTTCTTCGGGTGCTCCTTCTATTATTTTTTTTCTTTGTATTTGCAGTTGCATTTGCAAAGTCTTCCACAAGTTCTGTCGTCCATTGGAGACAAGTATTGCTGTATATATGGAGTGTAGAGCTAATTAATTCATGGTTCTAT